ATTTTTGCGTGGAAGACTAGCACATTTCACTATTCGCGTGGAAGATTAGCACATTTCAGATTTTTGCGGGGAAGAGTAGCACATTTCAGGTTTTTGCGTGGAAGACTAGCACATTTCAGATTTTTGCGTGGAAAAGTAGCACATTTCACTATTTGCGTGGAAGAGTAGCACATTTAAGGTTTAAAATGAATCATAAGGCATAATTTATATTGGAAGTTAAGTGCGTATTTTATATTTCTATAATTGTATTATAAAATTCATGAAATTCAGACGGTATATAGCGTTTAGTGATTATTTGCTGGGGATCATCCACTTTTGTTTTTTTTTAAGGCATTTTTCCCCTTTAAGCTTAATGCAATTCATATACAGCCTAATTCTTAATACTCCCGGAGAGTTTGTTGTGAGGGAATTTGTTTCTCCCGAGAAAGGAAACCTCCAATAATTAACTCCCAGGGAGTAGCATTTTCTCGAAATTTGGGAGGAGGAAATTTGAATTTCAAAAAAGCTGTTTCACACTTTTTTGCAGCTCATCTCCGCCCTTTAATATAAAAAATCGTCAGGGAATTTTTATTCACAATAGGTGGAAATGGAAAAGAGAAAACTCCCAGGGAGTTTCTGTTCAGAATCGGTCTGATTGTTATATGGTTAACCATTCAGTATGTTCAATTTCAATTAAAATAAAGTTCATAAAAAAAAAAAAAAAAAACATGTAAACCCACGCTCAAAACTTTGTAGAAATCTAAAGAAAAAATCGAGTAATTTCATTCAAATTTCAAACTTATTTACTCAGAAGTGATACAATTTTTTTGAGTATGAAGCTTTATAGCCGATTCATTTGTAGTGTGATAATGTACAAGTTTCAAGAGCCTTAAAATTACCTTTGATTCTTTTTGTCGCATTTGTTCCCATATAACGAATAAACACAATTTATTTTTATATGGAACATTTTTAGATTTTTTTTAGTTTTCTACAAAGTTTTAAATTTGGGTTTATATGGATTTTTTCAGAGAATGAACTTTATTTTAATGAAAATTCTTAAAAAAAATAAATAAACATAAGTGGAAAGCAATATCACTTTGAAATGAGGTGCTAGTACATTAGGGTGGTCCAAAAACAGTAAAGTCGGAATTGTAATGCTCTCACCCCCTAGGATTGTTCTATATAGAAAAAAACATACCCCTATTTTTTTATTTTGAAATCAAAAAATATTTAGAGGTCGCTCAAAGCGCTCAAAGTTTTCCATGTACTTTAATAAGTATGGGGAAAAAACAACTTTTCGTAGAAATGGTATAGAATTCTTGAAAATTAATACCTTTCGATCGGAAAACTCTGGTTCTCTTCAGCAGACTTACAATAATAATCCCCAATTATTTATTTAACAATTTTTTAATACTAACGATTTTTTATTTGTCCCCCCATTGCATTTTTCGGGGTTTTTGGCGGACCTATAAATTATAGTTGCGATGAAAAAATGGTTAAATAAACAATTTGGTATTATTACTGGGAATCTTCTGCAGATGAAAAGAGTTTTCCGATAGAAAAATATTAGTTTTTTTGAATTCTATACCATTTCTGCGAAAAGTTTTTTTCCACATATAAAATACATGGAAAACTTTGGGCCCTTTGAGCGACCTCTAAATATTTTTTGATTTCAAAATAAAAAATAGGGGTATATTTTTTTCGGTATAGAACAATCCTAGGTGGTGAGAGCATAAACATTCCGACCTTACTTTTTCACATGCATTTTTGGACCACCCTAATGTACATATATGTTTCTCGTATTTATAAATAGATTCCCTGAGGAAGACGCGAATATGCGCCAAAACAAGTAGCAGGAAAATAAACGTTTATTCTATTTGTAATAAAAGACCGAAAAGCTCCATACACAATATTAAACTTTCAGCTTAGTCGAGGAGAAATAATTATAACATACATGTATTATGTTTGGTTTTTGTACGGCTACTGGTACCACTTTGTATGAATTCGCTACTATTCTACGCGAGAATCTGAAATATGCTACTCTTCCACGCAAAAATCTGAAATGTGCTACTCTTCCACGCATATAGTGAAATGTGCTACTCTTCCACGCAAAAATCTGAAATGTGCTACTCTTCTACGCAAAAATCTGAAATGTGCTAATGTTCCACGCGAATAGTGAAATTCGCTAGTCTTCCACGTGAGAATCTGAAATGTGCTACTTTTCGACGCGAATAATGAAATATGCTAGTCTTCGACGCGACTAGTGAAACGTGCTAGTCTTCCACGGTAATTTGAGATGTGCTACTCTTCGTTGGGAGCGACGATATACTACATGTGTGTAAAGTAGGATCTGTTGGTAATTAGTAAAGTAGTTTAAGTGAGTTTTAATAGGGTAAAGTTAATATCAGGAGTGCAGTGTAGATGGTTAATACATAGTCGTATACTTATTTCTTTTATTGGAGTGGAATGGTAGGCTTATATTTCATTATATAAAATGCAGTATTTTAAGTAGTTGATTAAGGTTGTTAGGTTTTGAAGTGAGTGGGTTTTAAGTAGGTCTGAGGGTATGTTGGTAAGTGATTGACGGTGTACGTTAAAGAAGGTGCATGTGTTCAGTATGTATTGGGCGATCGTTGCAGAAATTACAGATGTTGGATAGGTTTTTGTCCATTATATGTTTACGTGTAAGTCTACTGTGTCCTAGTCGCAATCTTATAATTTTGGTCTGGTCCTTTCAGGTTAGAGTGTTAATATTCGTTTTAAGATAATCGTTGATGGTTCTAAAGTTCTCGGATATATCTGAGTACCATTGCGAGAAATTATTGTTTCCGTTCTGGAGTTTTTGATGATAATGTGTTTAATTTCGAGAGGGGGTATTTAAAGTATTTTTTTCTGCTGCGTCCGCCCGTTCATTAACTGCTATCTGTACATGACCCGGAGTCCATCAGCTTTAGCTTATTCGGGTTTTGTTGTTGTTGTTGTTGTAGCAGCATACAAATTCCCCAAAGACTTTTTGGGGAGTGTTGCTGGAGTGACAGTCCTTGGCCAGATATAAATCTGGGTCGTTCCGGTTACGTAGACCCGACTGTCGTGGGAACGTTATACGGTTTTTCTAACAGTATGGTGCGAATTGAGTTTATGTAGAAGTTGTTATGTGAGAGGTTTTGAATTGAGGTGAGGGAAGACAGGGAGTCTGAGCATATAGCAAATTTATGTGGGAGCTTTGTAGCGTACTTGGCAGCTTCGTGAATGGCTATTAGTTCGGCAGAGAAGTTTGAACTGTAGTGGGGAAGATGAGATATTTGAATTATGCTTTTATCTTGGACTATACCCTAACTAGTTTTGCAATTTACTCTTGAGCCATCGGTGTATAAGATTCTAAAATCGGTGAGTTTTCTGACAATTTCCTGGAATCTGTTTCTGAAAACTAAAGGAGGTGTGGAGTTTTTTTTGAGAGAGCTTAATTCTGTGTATATTGTTGTGTGTGGCAGTTTCCAGGGTGGTGTTTTTGAATTTTTGTAGGGCTTGACATTTAATGGTATATCGAATTGTTTTGCTATGTTAGTTATTCTGCTTAAGAACGATGGTATTTTATTTATTCTTGCATGTGTGGTTTTGGACAGGAGTAGAGGTAGGGGAGAGTTGTCGATGATAATGAGAGATTTGATAAGTTTAGCTGTAAACAAATCTCTAGTGGTATGTAATGGTGGTATATTAGCCTCGGAGGTGAGACACCTGATAGGGGCCGTTTTGAAGGCACCTAAGGCGATTCGAATGCTGGAATTTATTATTGTATTAACCTTGTTTGTGGTCGGTTTAGGGGCGTATGAATATAAGTAAATGCCATTGTTAATTTTTGATATCACCAGAGCTTTAATGCTGTCAATAAAGAGACTGTACTACAGTTGTATTTTGGATTGGCTAAACATTTTATAATGTCAAGTCGTTTTTTTAGCACAGATACTAAATAGTCGATGTGGTTATTGTAGGGTTTAATACTTTAAGCTTTATTTACCTGTTTATTTGTTTTATTTAATTTAATTTTGTTCATGACTATGGTTGAAAATATCAATATGAGAATTTGCTTTCTTTCAAAAATTTTCTTCATTCAAATCGCTCATCGAATAATTATACAAGTTATAATAATTGCATCGTTTACAACAATTTATGTCTGCAATAAGTTAGATAGATAGATAGATAGATTAAGTAGAGGTATGCACTGCGACCAAATGATCTATTGTGCCCTCGACTGTTTAGAGTACCTCATATAATCCCAGAGAACCCAAAAATTTAAGGAGATCTCCGGGGGCAAGCGATTGTAAGACTTCCTCACTTGGCCAGAGTTGGCCTAGGTGTCTCTCCCGTCCCGCATTCGCGAAGCAGATGCAGAGGGGTCTCCTCAGTCACATCGCAGAACCGACATCGGTCGTTAGACCAGATCCCCAACCTGTGCAGGTGACCTCTCAGTCTGCAGTGACCCGTCAGAAAGCCTGTCAATATCCTTACCCTTTCTTTGGGAAGGTTTATTATTGCTCTATACCTTGTATGGTTGTAACCTCCCAGTAGGCTTTTAGCCTGGCGTTGG